TTTGCCGAATAGGGTTTATTAACAAACTCAAATTCCTCTAGCACCACTTGAAAAGCAAAGCAAATGTAAAGAATATTTTAGGTAAGGTATGTTTTTGGAAGAGCTTTTTTTGAGACAGGAAAAAATAGCTTGTAATGTTTTTCAAATATTGTGCCACAGATTATTCCATTTAATGGCTTGCCAAATTACTTTAAAAGAAAGGGCTATTTTCTGTCCAAAAGCTTTGCGAGATATTTGGGAGTAGATTAGAGCCAGTAAAGCGAAGATGTAGCAGAAATATAATGAACGGCACTTGGTTAATTATAACAGCATGAAGAATCTATTTTGGGTGATTAGACAAACAAAGGAGGAGAGGAGAATAGGCGGAAAAAGTTGGAACAATAAAAGATGTTTTCTTCTCTGCAGCAGCCTGGGCAGTACTGCTCTTCTTAACTGCCTCTAAATGGTTTTCAAATCACCAGACAATCCATTCTAAACAAAACCTTTACAAAAAATACTAAAATCAAGACTCATATATTCTTAATTTGTCTATATTTAAAATAGTTTGTCATTTTAACATCTTTGAGCTAAATATTTGTATTTCAGGTTGACTGTATACACACTAGGGATGGGCATGATTAATCGATAATTGATCATTAAGAATTTCATCGATTACGTTAATTTTAATAGACAAACCGAATGTAGGTTGCTGTGCGTAGCGTGACCAAACAGAAGTCCGTACATGTAAGCTCTCTGCACTCAGAAGGAGCGAGCAAACACAAACGCGTATTTAACGATGACTTGTACAAGAAATTCCACGCTTTCCGTTGCGTTCGGGACAAGTGTGAGTCCATGTGCACAGTGTACAAAGCAGCACATATGTTTCGGTGTCCAGTGGGAAAAAGCTTTACCAGGTGAGAGTCGCGCAATGTCGATGACGAGTCCCCACCTCCCACCCCCGTACGGTGTCCTGGTTTTGACAAACGCAAATATGGTCACGCTAACCTGTATTCCACTGAATCATGTCTTTTAATCCAACAGAAATTGACCGCATCAGCGACACAAGAGCTGTAGTTTTATCTTCGCTTAGTTTATGCAAATTAGCGATGCGGTTTTAAGTTTCGTTTCTGTGAGAGTTGCGCAAAACTGAATTAAACACATTATAATGTCAAACGGGCTGATGTGGCTCTAGAGTCGTTACGGTTTATATGTCGTAAAGTTGAATTTATTTATGCAGATTAGTAGTGCAGATAGTAATAATAATGATGATCATTTTAATATAAAAACGTTAATGATTAATCGATAATCGATCGTTAATTCTTCCAACGATCGATTAAGAAAATTTCATCGAATGCCCATCCCTAATACACACACCTCATCTATTGGCTTTCCATGCTTTTAGGATATTCCATTGATTTACATTAATTTCTTATAGACTGATACTAACCTTAACCATAAAGCCAGACTATATTTAGGCAAAACATAGACTAGAATTTTTCTTCATTTTCATTGTGTTTATTTAGCTCAAAAGCATATGGCCTTACTCTGAGAAGGGTTGCATCTCCACAAACCTGATTCTTATTTGGCCTGGAAAATGCTTGTTTTCATGGGCATGTTGTTCCTTTGGCAATAATCTTCCACAATATGGCATAAAAACGTATGACCTGATTTTTGTCCCCAGGTCCCTCACAATTCAATGCAATACCCAATACATGGTCCACAATACAATAATCACAACAATAATACAATACAATACAATAATGATGACATGATATTCTGCAGTATATTAGTATTCTTAAGAACCAATACATTTAATAGGAGTATTTATTTGTTCTACCACTACATGTGCATTATGGCATAAACCATTTATAACCAGTGTTAGGAAGGTTACTTTTTAAATGTATTCCCCTACAGATTACAGATTACATATGCCAAAATGTAGTTTGTGACGTAATCCATTAAATTACTTAAAGTGAGTAACGTAATCTGAATACTTTAGATTACTTGATTTGTTGTAAAGTAGGAAAGACAAGGATATCTTCACATCTTCTGTCTGCTAAAAGACAATAAAAAGCCCAGACTTTACTTAACCAAATTAAAAATATTATTGATAGAAGAGGAGGAGACACGTCCACGCAGAATGGTTAAGGCCTGTTAAATCCTGTTTGAGACATAGTTTAGACCTGATTTTAGACCTGATTTTAGACCTGGTTAAGTCCTGGTTTAGTCCTGGTTTAGTCCTGGTTAAGTCCTGGTTAAGTCCTGGTTTAGTCCTGGTTAAGTCCTGGTTTAGTCCTGGTTTAGTTCTTGTTTAGACCTGGTTTAGACCTGGTTTTAGACCTGGTTTAGCGTCTGGCAAGGAGTGGATTTACCAAAAAGAAAAAAAAAAGGGATATAGCCCAAAATGTGAAAACAGGAAAATACCGTCCTGTAATACATTTATACTGAAAACAGTAACTGTAACTGAATACAGTTACTCATAATTTGTACTCCGATTACGTAACTCTGGTACATGTAATCCATTACTCCCCAACACTGATTATAACCATGAAAACAGCAAACATGTCAAATGTATTTCATGAAGGAGTTTCCTTTCTCTGAACAAACATCAAAATTGTAGCACTAACACAAACACTTTAGTAAAATATACCAAAAACCCCTTATCGAAACAGCGTATTTCAGCACACACCTAGTCCTCATGTGATTAATATACAGAGTTTAGTCCCCACAATGTGATAAACACCCGCCAAAGCTTTCAAGCAACATCTGCTCGAGAACAGCTATGGTAGCCCTGTTGTATCTAATGTATGCAATTAGCTTAACAAGAATGGCTAGTTAAACTGTTACAGCATCAAACTACTCCTATAACAGCTTTACATGTAATCCAATACACTTATTAATGCACTATCTAACTAGCACATTTTCCCTCAGTCTGAAGATGCTCTGGAGCTCTGCCAATTACCTCCCGTCTGTACAGAGCCATATCACACGTTCTATATTGGTACACTGACACACTGTAGCGCAGGCTGGCACTTGTCTTTCTCTGTCTCGCGCCTTTGCCTCTCGACCAACACAATACTGCCGTCACATTTGAGTCGTCACGTGAGCTCACACACACAAGGGACTATTATATGGACTAACTACTACAGATCAGTGGTGGAAGGTAACGAAGTACAAAAGTAAAAGTACAATACTTGAGTACAAATTTTAGGTATTTGTATTTTACTTAAGTACATTTTACAGTGGATACTTTTTAGTTTTACTTCACTACATTTGAGAACATGTATCTGGACTTTCTACTCCACTACATTTTAGAACTGGACTGAAAAGTAAAAACAACTTTTCTTTATGGTCAGACACTTTCTTTATGGTGTACGCTAAAAAGACTGAGTCTTATTTTTAGCACATTTAATTTGAGTTAATGTCCCAGCTTTACACAACACACAGCAATACACAAAAACGACAAAAAAAAACTAAGAAGTCAATTAAATCACTTAAAATCAGATAAATTCTTTTTCAAAATCACTATATTTCATCAAATCTCTGCAAAATAGTTTTACTTTTTACTCTTTAAGCACATTTAAGCACAAACAAGTACTTTAATACTTTTACTTGAGTAGATTTTTTCATGTGATACTTTTACAAATCTTTTTTTATTTAATGGAGTTATTTATTTTTATTTTTATTTTTTGTTTTTTTTCTTAAAGGGCCCATATTGTGCTTTTTTTTTTTAATCTCTTGTTTCCTCATCAAAAACATACCTGGAGTTGTGTTTCATTTTATTCACATGTTTAACACATAATCCCTGCATATTTAGAGTTCTTCTATCAAACGGAAAACTGTGTTCGACTTTCTGATGCCATGTCATACAAGAAGTGCTCCACTGTGTTTCTAATTCTATACACCTTCACTAAAATCATTTGGATAATTTCAGCCCTGGAATTTCCTATCTCTACTGAACTAAAGGTAAAAGGTAGATGTTGAGTTGAAAACTATGGCTTCATGACATCAAAAGGTGAAAGAGAGCATTGTAAGCTTTGGAGAGGAAGAGAAACACATGTGGAAGAAACAAAAGTTCAGGCATATTTTTGATGAGGTAACAACATTCTAACATGGCTTAAAGCTCACAATATTCAATTTGATGTAACCTTTAACACATTATTCTAATAGTGAATAGAAGCAAGTTTTTAGGTATTAAAGTGTAATCTAGTTTTAAAATTTAGTTCTTGCTCAGAGCTGTCCTTGGTGTTTGTTTTTGTTAAATGACACAAGACAGAGCACAGAGGAATTCAAAATTTTATAGAAAAGCACCCAAATCGAAAGACACAAGTGTGAAGGCAGATTAAAGCAAAAGGACTTATAAAAATGTCTTTGTCACTGCTCATATGTCCTTGAACCTCTAATATGTTATTTAAAGTTTAACTCAGATTTCATTTCATATAAGTCCCCTCCACTGATTTCTGAAGGACAGTGGCAGTGTAGCAAACTAGCCCTGCTGTGAGTTTATACATTACCGAACATTGTTAAACCACTTTAAATTATTGTAATACTAAATATATAATATAATATAGTTGAAAATGTGTATTTTTGTTTGAGAGTGCAGTTGCAGGATAAGATGTTATTTACTGTCCTCTTTGTAAAATGTGTCTTCTGCATTTGACCCATCCTTCAATGCCACCTGGGCACGGGGCAACTTCTCTCGAGCAGCGTTCTTGGTCAGAAGTACAGCTGGAGGTTTAACCCATTATTGTGCATGTCTTAGGCTGATGGGAAAACCATGGGGCAAATGTGCTGAGGCAAGAGCACCAAACACTTAGCACCGTGTTACCAGTGTGTCTTTGAGCAAGACACTTCTCATTACCTATATGTATGCCTGAGTGAGATGGCGATAGCTCTGTTGAATGAATAAATTAAATATATATGCAAATTTGAATCTATAGAAAAGCACTGAATAAAAGGCTGCAGCTACACAACTTTTCAATCATCTCAAAATGTGCAATATAAGGCAAATAAAGTCTTACCAGGAACTTTGCAAAGATTGAGGACTTTGTCAAATGGTGGTTCTGAATGTCGATTTCAATTATTTTTTGATTCATGGCGCAGACCGAATGCAGTCGCTTCTCTTCAGGGGGCTGATGTACAGTCATCCAAATGCATCATAAATACAAACTGCTCTGCACAGATGGAGCGCCGCAGCAGTCTCTGTAATGTAAAGCCAATAAGTGGGAGGAATGGAGCCGACAGACTACACAATATACATATGGATCAATGTTTGATAACACTGACAGGCCTATTGTGTGTCACCAAGATAATAATTGCATCAGATTCATACGGCGGCTGCTTTAGTAGCGTCTTATTTGAGAATATGTGTAGAAGATGTCTCAACTCTAAAATAGACTTAGAAGTTTATTTCAAGTGTTTAGGAAAACCAACATTGCAGCAGGAATGTGTTTTTAAGATAAACAACAAGAAAGTATTTAAATATTTGATGTAGACCAATTAAAAACACTTCTAGTTGAAGCTATGGTCAAAATTATTCTCCATCTTCAACACACACCCTCTGTAATCCCTTTTCTCACAACATCATGTCCTCTTTCACTTTTCATCTGAATCCTCCTGAGCTTTTCTGTAGGAACAGGCCAATCCAGCTTTTTCAGTTCTGATACTTAGGCATTAAGTATTTGCCGATACCTAATATTAACAGATACCAGCATAGGGACTGGTACAGCGCAGTATTCCTGGGCAAAACTGCAAAACTGAGAAACCCCACCTCTTCAAAGTGACATTTCACTGTAGCAAGTGGTGTATTTTTTATGTGTGTATTATTCAAAATGGAAGAGACCAGTGGACGGGAATAGGGGATAGGTGAAAACAGGAATTTTCTCAGAACTTGAAACCTCAAACTGCAGGAAAATATAGGATGCGTCAAGATGAATTAGTGAACCACAGCTTTGGGTAAGCTAATGTTGAGGAATAATTGGCTCAACATAGTTTGTATAAAATGTCTTCTTAAACTCAACTTGTATGTCAAATGTAAACACTGGGACCTTAGTGACAGAACTAATCCAAGTTGAAGTAAAGTTGATAGTGTATGATTTGAAACAGACTTTATTGCCTCAGTGGTGAGTATGAGGACTTGTAGCAGTGGCCCAACACTATTAGGCCTATTGATTTCCCTCCACACAGATGGAGAGTCACAGGTTATTGCTGAGAAAGCTGGGTGTTCCCTAGGCTTCACTTCAGATACACGACTGTGAGGTGTGGCTCCAAGGGACATTTCTACGAACCACAAAAATCAATGTTTAGCCCATATGTAAGAACTTAGCTAATGTAAACTGAAGTTAAACTAATTACATTGTTACTTATGGTGGATGGGAAGTGTCAAACTTTTGCTCATGTTTGGGCTTTTCAATTGTTAGATTGGACTAAACAAGATCCACTCAAAAACTAAATCGAAATTAACCAGGACAATGTACTATTATTATAATAGGCTATTCCATAAATATGTGTTCTTAACCGACATCTGAAGTTGGAGGATTAAAAAAAGATGCCAAAAATCTAATGGGAGATACAGGCTATATGAAAGGATGGTGGCAATGCTTTAACCTTGAGTAAACTGGTTAGGCTATTGTTTAGTGAAACCATGGTGAGGAGAGAAATGTGTTGTGTAGGTGGAGTGGGACTTTGATGGGAACCTAAATAAAAATGAGCATCACTTTTGATGAGAGAAAACCTGTCCCTTTATTTACATCCCCGTCATTACGCGCCAAACAGGGGACGCGTGTGACATGTTCGTGACAACAACTTGCACACTGTGGATAAAAGTTGTGCAAAGCCTGGCCTCAGATTTGAATGACAGCCCAGAAAAATCTCCTCTAGCTTCATGGCTAACTGTGCATCAATCCACAACTATAAGACGGTGGAGCCAACAGCGCAGCGGGCTGACAGAATCATCCATGCCCTCTTGCCCCCAGGGGTCTGCGGGTTAGGAGAGGGAGGTCACGGGCAGTGGGAGAGGCTGCAGCGGGAACAGGGGCACTGCTCTCGCCCCATCAGCGTGCACACGAGCCGGGGCTAGCGACACACAGACTGCTAACATAGCCCCTTTTAGCTTAGCTCTGTGACTGCCGCAGCTTGGAAAGAGGCTCCAACTATGTCCAGCACAACTTCCAGAGTCCGGCCCGGAGTGTCGCCCCCACGGCGGACACATAGCAGCAGCTAGCACCCCATTAGCGAGCCCTGCAGCACCCAACCACACCACTGCAATGTGCATTAAAATACATGAGTGTCAGAAAGCGCAGATGGCACAGGCGTCCTACCTGTAAACGCAGCCAGTGACGCAGAGTCGCCGCGTCTGCCTGTTTAAAGTCTGTGATGATGTGTGGCTACACGTCAAGTCCAACTGCACTACAGCGGTTTGCAGCCTGGGAAGCGAAATGCAGCCAGCTGCCCTACTGTACGGGCATGCTGCTCTGAGGCGCGCCACGCGAAGCTTTGGGGACATCTGCAGCTCAAACAGGGCACTACACCCGACTCTGAGGGAACATAAAGATGTGCACATAGATTCTACAGGTGGTAAAAGTTACTGTTGTGGAGAACAGTTTAAATACGCTGAGCGCTGAGCATCAGATTCTCTAAATATCACTGGAATAAGGTTACTGCTGCTATACCACTATGAAGTCACACAAAATGGAGACAATCTCTGCCCCTTCGCAAGAGGTGCATAAGTCTAGAGGAATCTCCATGATATAATAAAACATATTGCATACATGTAATAGGTCCCTTTATCAGAGGATTATTAGAATGATCACTTTCCTATATAGACATAGTTAGCCTATTTTAACAATCACTATGAAAATTACATATTCATTCTAGTCAAACATTGTTAAGCTAAAAAACTGGAGGAAAACATGTCAGCAGCAACTTTTAATTTTTAAGTGATCTGTTTAAAATATTCCCCAAATTGACAACTGAACATCAAACAATATATGACAAACCTTTATTTAAAACATGTAAACACAATATATTACATAATATACTATTAAGTATGTGCAAAAAGTAAAACAGTCTTGATATTTCATGGATGTGTTCTGTGCAGCCTTTGACTGCCAATATACCGCCTTCATCTAAAATAGTGTTAATAGAAAATACTAGTGGTAACAACTGCCTGAGTCTGGGGCATTTAGTTCATAAATAATTAAGCCTTTTTAAGTTTACATATGTTTACTTCCACTCAAAGTTAAAATGGAGATTCGGGAAGTGAATCCAAAGCTCAAAGCAATTTTGGGCACTTGCCCTCGATTCAAAGAGGAGTGGGAAGGTAATTTTCTGTGACTGGAACAGCGATTAACACGTTTGCCATGGTAACCATACTAAAGCCTGGCACACTGCCGAACAAAAGCCCCAACAGAGGAAACTCTTTTAGCATGTAATAACAATCATTAACCATCCTAATGCTGCTCCCAGCCTCCCTGATCATGGCTAAATTAGGTACATCTGGACGGATTGGAGCGGAGTGGTGGCTGCTGGGAAGTTAACACAGTGCACTGCCAAAGGCCACCAAGCAGGTGTTCACACAGCAGCGAGGGCAATTAGGAGCGCCTTATGAAATGTACAAAAGAGACATGTAGGAACTTGAGCAAAAGGTAGAAAAATACATTCAGTTAATGCGTTTCCTTTTGCAAAAACACTACTGGGCATTTTGGTAAGGGTTCTTTATCTGAAAAAGGCAACACTGTTGTTGGTGTGTGATTTTACTGTGGCATAAGGCAAACCCACATCCAGAGCTGGACGACCAGAAGCATTAGCCCTGAATGGGCAGAACAGTGCACACTAATTGAAAACCAACATGGTTCGGTGCCGGCCGACTGAGGACACCTGCGTCTCTCCAGATGCAGATTGAAGCTGGTTAGCAGTCTGTCAGTCACTCCAGTTGAATTGGAAAACAAAAACACTACACCTTCTCCAAGCATAACAACGAGGCACTGCATGGTTTGACTCACACAGTTAGTATAAAGAACTTAAGGATGATTGTGATATTGTAAAGAAATAAATACCAAATTTGACTGAATATGGCATATACACCATTTACATTAGGCTGAAGAAAAGTGTTTTTCTTAAACAAATCACATGAAGCAATGGTAAAGATGATTTAACTAAACTCAATGAAGGATGTCATTGTGTGTAAAAATCTGTATTTCTTCTCACAATAACCCCAAGTCCAGCAGCTTCTTTATCTGACCCACATTTGGCCAAATATTTCTGCATTTGTGAGTCTCATGATGACCGATGCAGGGGAGCGTTCACCCACGGTGGCCCCACGCAAGGAGGAGGAAGAGGAGGAGGAAGAGGAGGAGTGGGCTGGAGCGTTCAAGGCACAGCCTCAGCGCTCAGCTGAATAACAAGGCTTCCACTGCTGTCGGACTGGACGAGCAGCACGGCGCTGTGGCTGCCCAGGGTACTGGGCTTGAACTGAACGGGGAGTTTCAAATAATGCTGAGATCTGTAGAGGAAGATGAATGACAGACTATAAGTACATCAGCTAATGCCAATTACGTAATATATACTAAAAAGTAAAGGATTTAAATTGAACAAATAATTTTTTTGTGTGTTCAAGTAGACAACAAATCCCTGGCAAATTGTAAAAAAAATCCCACTTTGTATAAAATCATGAATATAATAATAAAACAAATTTATTTAAAAAAATATCATCTGTTTTAAAACAGTCCACAATCAAAACATATACATTAGCTAATCTCAACTCACTAACCAGAATAATCATACCTTTTTTAAATGTTAAATGGGATTTGAAAATGAAGATGACAAAATATGTTTGTGTGTCTAAGTGTTTTTTCACCAAAGTGTGACTTTGCAGCCAGTTAGACTTGTAAAGAGGGGTTATTATGGTAAACAAAAAACAAAAAGTGTATAATAATGTGTCTTTAAACAACAGCTGGGCGCTTTAAGAGGTGAGAAGGGGAAGGAGGGATGTACAGTAATGGTACAATAAAAGATATGAAGAAACACGCTTCTATTTTCAGCCACTGTTCCCCAAAGCCCCGTTTAACCAGCTGGAGTGTGGAGGAAAAGTGGAAAAGTGAACTTTCTGTCAGAAATAATAACCGGTTGACTCACCTCAGGGAGTATTTGGAATGCTTGATGTGGAAGGGCTCCCTAGGGCTTACAAATTTCAGCTGCAAGTCAATTAGAGAAGCCACACATCAAATGTCAAGTCCACGCCAGGCACAGAACAAACGTTAGGTTACAACATTCAATCATGCAAATCGTCAGATGCTGTCACTACTGCTTAAACCGCCCAACATGGGAGCGCTTTTAGAGGCCACAGCCGCACAAGAGCAGTACATTTTGTATTTTCAATCTTTTGTCTGGGCTCAAATTGGCGTTGTTTGGAAGACTAGAAATTCAAAGTCAATTTTGATACTGAAGGAAGGAAAATCTTGGAAGGATTCCACTTTTTTAGTGAACATAAAATGCACTGATTAAATGGTAATGGTCACTTTTAATTCAACTATTTATACATAAAAACATTTAATTGTATAAAAATATTTATGGAAAAAGAGAACTAGCATTACGCCAACTTTGGGCTTTAAATTGTGCAATAATGTCCTGCTATGTGCTCAGAAGCTAAAATCTTTACGTGTATATGTCAAATGTAATGCTAAATAAACAACATTTTAATCAAGACATTCAAAAGCCTGAAAGACAATATTTTTTGTGGTATGTAACATGTGGTATGTATGTGTTCTTCTAATCTGAATTTGGGTAATTGTGGAGCAACATTGTAAAATCCTTTTAGGAAAATATCAGTTTGCAAGCCTCCTTGTGTAAACTTGGCCCCAAAAAGAAACAAAGTGTGCTCAAACATGCTCAAGCCATCAAAACCAAGGTTACAGCTTAGCTCCTTTTCCCCTAAAAATTGATAGCCTTTCATGTGTATACAATGGATTTGACTTTGTGCTGTGGTAAGCGAAAAAGAAAACTCCTTCTCCTTCTGGATGTCTTGATGGGAATCCGGCTTACCTCGTGCGTGTCGGCAGAGTTGTTTCGGATGTTGACCTTCAGAGAGCTGGACTCACCGACCCGTGTGGCTGGGAACGTGTACAGATCCTGGGGAGAGTACACACCCCTTCGCACAGCCTCCTCCGCACTGAGAGGAATGACAATCAGAAGAGATGGGAGAACAGGCTTCAAAAAGTACAGCTTTCCTACGCCTTTGTTTTCTACAATGAAGCCAGGGCATGTTAAACCCCTGAAGGAAAATGTTGAGTAATTTTATAGGTTCAGCTCAACGTATTACATGATTTACCCCAGACATAAAAGAAATTTATCAATCATACGGCCTTTTTTTGTCCAAACTATTCTGAAATGATTATATGAAAAATATGTTTTAAAAGCAAGTCAACAAAAAGGCTATGGGCATTTAAAATGGTCTCAAAATTCATATTGAAATCATTGCATCATTAGTTATAAAACAACAATATAATGTAAGATTCAACTGTAGACTGTCTTTAAACCTATGGAAAATAATTACTGTATTTTACTCAGTCATAACTAGAACAGTCTAGCACAAACATGTATGTAATCAATTGTGATTAATATTTGCTTTTTTGTGATACATCAAGCACTACGTCTTTATGATGGATGTAACTATAAAAATGTCTTAATGTGGACGAATGCCAACTCTGAGGAAATAAGGGAACTGCAAGGTGATGTTAGGTATGGGATAATATAAAACTGAAATTATGTATGTATGTATTTTGTGTGTCTGGGCCCCTTCTATAAACGGTAGCTTCTGAGGAGTTCCCTTTTATAAGACTATCACAGAATTCAATGTATTAACTTAATTAATTTACTTACTTAATTTAAATGTTTGTAAATACATAAAATAAATAAATACACTGTCAATGTAGTTACCTGGGCTTAGTCAGAATTGGTTCAACCTTGGTTTTCTTGGTCTTGATCATGGGTTCTGTCTTCACTAAAGAACAGTCTCCTTCTTGTGGACCCTGAACCGGGCCAGACTTTGTACCCTTTAAAACAACACACCAATTTACAACAGACCAATGTTACTTGTAAATAGCCAAACGAAATGTACAAAATAAGATCACACAACAGGACAAATGCATCGCCTGGCTGTGTTAATTGCCTATTCGGTTTGAAAAACTTAAACACATAAAATGTATAATATGCTTCAAAAAGAACAGTTTTCAAAAGTCACATATGAAAACAAACAAGTAAAAGTCACCCCATCATCGCTACTTAACCTACATAATATGAAGCATTCTTCCTGACATCTCTCTTGCTGTGCGCGTGTGCTCTTAAGTTAACCACGTCTGTCACAACACTTCACTTAAAAGCAGCACAAACGCAGAGCCCGCAGGCCCGTCCCAGCGGGGAGACCCTCCTTATCATCCCACATCCATATTTTCTCATTTGTCAATTCTGTCACGAACACTACAAAGACTTAGTACAACTTTATCTGTTAAAGTTAATTGTTTTGGCAGGACTTTAGGATAAAATTAAATAAGCTTAAACGTGATTTGAACTTGTTTGGAAAGATTTTGATGGTGCTTTTTTAATTAGATTTTTTTTATTAAGTTGTGACGCCTCCTGCTGTGATTTTTTTGTAAAAGTTGAAAACTTCTCACAGTGCCACAAAGTTGAAAGCGAAGCCTAGTTTTTTGTTGTGGCTCAGACAGCGGGTGGCATTCCAGATCCCAAAACTGGGCATATTCCCCTCGATCCCTCGGAAGAAAAGTGATTGGCACCTGGAGACACACACACAAAATTACTATTGGCACATACTTTATCATTTTGTCATAGTCTTGTTATCACATTTCATTAATACAGAATGATTTTCTCTTGGGTTTACACATTAAAAAACTAAATAAATTTCAAAATGGCTGAGTGCGCCAATGAGAAGCAGATGATGATCATAAATGCAATTTCAATATCTAAAAGAAAAACAACCAGTGTTTGAGAATGAAGATGCGTCTGAATTAGAAACCAGTGCATATGACAAAAATAACATTGGAAATGAAAGCTTTACCTGCATCTTCTCATGGGCTCCCAGTGTCCCTGAGACTTTGGAGCATCTGAAAGCTGTGTAGGTGGCTCGATAAACATCTCCTGACGTGTCAACCCCCTGGGAGACAGAACAGCTTGAGTGCAATGTCACAAAAATGCTTAAATCTATTTAAATGTCATCAAATAAACCAAAAGCATATTAGCAGTCACAAATTACTGAAAAATGAAGTAAACATTTTAATCTGTTGGTCTATGAAAAGAATCAGTAATGAGATAAAAGCACCTTGACGTATGGAGGAGCAAAGGAAGACAGGTACCACCTCAAATCCGCATCCCCGTTTTCCACCTCCAGCTGGGCCTCTGAAGTTTGAGAACACAGTGAGTGTCTCCCCAACAAAAATACACACACACACACACACAACAGTGGGCTGCCAAAGCACATGACTTTTGACATTCACCATTTCAAAATCATTCACACTCAAACTCTAAATTTTTGAGAGACTGTCAAGGTTAAATACAAGAGGAAAAATTAACTGTGTACTGGGAGTAAGGGAGATCGGGAATAATGAGCTTTTTTCATTCATTCATGAGTGTGAGTGAGTGAGACAAATCATTATTACTGTAATATATTAGGATTTCACAATGAAATTTGACATATAATATTAATGCAATATTACTAATACAAATTAAGTTCCAAATGGACCAAAGCAACACATGTTTACTTTATTGGAAAGGTGCACCATGTTACTTTCTTGGTGAAGGGTCACCTTAATTAATTATCTATTTAATTAAATTTAATTAATTAGCTAACTATTTAATTTAATTAATTATTTTCTTGCCCTAAAATACCTATCAATGGAGATTTTAATCTTTTAATCTTTATTATAATTTTGTGGAACATTCCACAAAAAGGAGGCAAGCGGGTGTTGGACCCTCATAAGTACCTTTTTTTTTTTAAATAATCATAAATAATAACTAAAGCAGTAAGGAGACAGGGTATTTCAATTGTTTTGCAAAGGGCACACACCTATTTAACACCACCAACAGCACTGACAGCTTAATATTTTGAAAAAGAAAAATGGTAGCAGTTCTTTTTTGTAACCACTGTGTAACCACCATTGTAGCTCACCTGATGTCTCTCCTGATGCAGTGATGGGGAACACTATGGTCTTACTCCTGATATTAACCTGGTCTGGAGAAGGCTGTGCGGACATCAGTGGTTTTGTGGGACCTCGCGGGAGATGTACCACTGGAGTGGCAGCCTGAGGAGGAAGAGCTGAGAGTGTAGAGTCTCCCGTTGCCGTGGAAACATCCAAAACCAAGTCCTGCCGAATCTGAACCTTAATGAACTAAAACGAAGTAAAGACATGGTCAGTAAAATTAGACTGAAATTAGACAGGATTAAGTCCATAACTTAGAATAGTTTACCTTCTGCTGATTATCACACTGAATGTAGAACTTTCCACTCCAAGGCAGCAAAGAAGATTTGTTTGCAAGAGAGGGGTTGGGGCTGATCAGTATTTGCAAGTGGCATCTAGATATACAAGTAATAATCAGTAAGTAATAATCAATTATGTGAGAGTAAGCTCTCCATTCTACATGCAGGTTATTAGTCACCAATGGCCATTTGTATTGTTGTTTCATAATAATTTCTAATATGGCATTAATATGAACTGTATGAACTTACTGGGGTTCAATGACTCCATGTTGAGGGGTGATGGTGAGGCAGTGAGCGGGCCAGGACAGGTCAAAGCTCAGCTCTCTGGAGGAGTTATTCCGGATCAGCACTGTACTCGTGGCAGACGGTCCATCTACACCAACAAGAACATGAAAAACCTTCAGATCTCTGCTCAAAAACAGGGTGGTATTTAAATCTGAAACTATAATTGGTATTGGACTCACTGATGGTGGGAGCAGGTAGGAGAAGCTGCTCTGGATGAATGGTCCATGATTCAGACGGCTTGTGTAACGGTTCGGAGCCCTGTGAGGGAGGAGGCATGATTAGAAACGCAAGTGGTTCACATTTGAGAAGGAAACAGGCTTGGGAAATCTCAAAATCGTATTCAAATTAAGTCTGAAAAAATGACATACTATATTACAAATGTACTGAAATGATGTACAATTGCTGTAAAGATGTTTTCATCTATGACATCACAGTAGCTCTTTAAATGTTACCTTCAAGGAGGGCTCTGGTACTTTGAGGCTTGTGCCCTGAGGACCCTTCACTGGCAGCACATCTAGAGACACGTTGCCATTTGTCAAACCGCTGAAAAAACACACAAGAGGACAGAATATTGGATTTACTTTACTGTGGTAAAATGTAGAGTGTTACATTGAACTGATGACTAAGATTTTTACAAACAAATAATAGTTGTTCTAATGTTCCAATAAATTAATTTTATTTGTGAAGTTATGGTAGTATTTCACACATATGGTTAATTTACAGGGCCTATCTGATAGTCTGTATAAAGAAGTGGACTAAGGAATAAGTTGATGGAGCCGAAAGTGCCCCCATGGCCACTTCCTATTTGGAACACTATGTCCATTTATATATCCAGTCATAAATAAGGATAAGGTTGAATATTTGTGGATTATGTAAGGAGATTCATTTCAGCCCATGCCCACAATCTAAAATTATGACACTCTGAAAGCCACCTAGCCATATTTTACCTTGTGTACAATGGATCCATGTCATTAATTCATTGAAAATTGGTCTATATTGACCATTACACATTATCTTATACAAAGAAATATGAAAATGTTATATACCCGTCACTGGCCGAGCTGCGCCGGGAGGATGGCACAGATTCATCACTGTTGCTGTTCTCTGCAGACTCCAGGCCTTTGGTGCTGCCCATTAAACACACCACCACTTTACTCATGTTCCCATAAAACAGGTGTGCTTCATTCGGCCGCAGCGGCAAATCATACGCTAAGAAAAGTGTATGTGATCAGTTAGACCAGGCAAGTTCATTGGAAACCTTTTGATGTGTTTTAACTTACTTTCAGTAACAATTTCCTCTCCAAGAAACTTCTCATTGAATTCTATGTTTTTCAAAAGACTGTTCTCCGACAGCGCCTTTCGTGCAGCCTCTGGTTTGCTTTGAAGTAATCTAAAGCAAAAGTAAAAAGGACAAAGATTTCACTGCCAAAAGAATCTCTGGAAATAAATGAATTGCATAGCTTGAAACAAATTAACAAATTCTATAAAAGTTAATAAGTTAAAAAAAGACTTTGTGCTTTTGTCTGCTATATAGTTCTAATCTATGACACCTGTGGACCCTTCTATTATACTTTGGACAGTTTTAGACAATATTGACCTGAGACAAATAAGTCTGTTGATTTCCGGGTTGGAAAACTGGATTCCCATACAGTATTAGTAGCTCGCCTTCCCTTTACGGTACATTGGCGTAAAGGTCAGTTACATTTGAGCCAAAACTGCCACACAATACTGCTTGTGTATAACCAAAATACAATTGAAGAATAATAAGTAAACAGCAGTGAGCAAGTATTAGTGGAGGTGAAAAGGGGACAGATCGGAGCAATGATGTCTTGAATGCAGGAGTATGAATAAAGTTTACTCAAACATGCATGAATCATTCCAAGTACAACTGTGAGCAGGTAAATTAGAAGGGGAACCAATTATAACATGGTGAAAAGCTCTAAAAGGTTGATTTTGCATAATAATAGGTCTCTTAACACAGCTGAAAAGTATAATTGCGTCTATACTATATTTGAACTGCTCTGACCAAACTGCTCTTAGCAGAATAAATATTACTAATACAAGCAAAAGGTCTTACTTCCTGTACTGTTGCCTGGAGACCTCATCCCCACAGAACAAGCATAGAGTGGCAAGTTGTGCAACAGTCAACTGGCACAGGCTCAGCTCTCTCTGGGTGGACTTCATAAGGATCGTAATTACCTAAAATAGTTATATTGTGCGTTAAAATGCAGTCTAATTGATACTAAACAGACATCAGTGGCTATCAAACTTACCAGAAAAAGTATCACCTAACAATAGCTTTGGTTTTGCAAGTACCAACAGATTTAAACCATGTCCATTACATGACTATTTCAGGTGTAAACTAGGGCTAAACCAGTTCAAATAGGACGACATCATTGCCACAATAGTTCTAGCTAGTGAGAAATTACCCAAAGGAGGACAAGAATGTGGTTAAAATAGATTCTAAACTAAGTAAACATTAGACTGTAGGCTACCAGAAGGAACCTGTGTACCACCATTTGAGAACCACTGGACTAGACAAACAAATTAAGTTAATTGTGGCAGCTACGAGTAGGACATACACCAAAATATACTAGCAATTGTTAAATATTGGTTTGATACAATATCTGTTGTTGTGTACCTCTTGTGTCCTTTCTTTGAGTACAAACTGAGAAGGAGCAATGCTGATGATGGACCCCTCCATAGTGGCTCGTTTGACGATGTCGGAGAAGACCACAGCTTTGATGAAAGCAGCTCTGGAGCCAGTGTTCCTCACACACAGACACACTTTACTGACTCGGCCCACTGCTACATCTGTGAGTGTGGCCACATAACCGTCTGCCTGCTTCCTTTGGTCTTCCAGTAATGTTACTGGTGCCACCATAGCCCGAGAGGGGGATCTGAGACATTACAAAATTGCATTATGTTAATGTTTATACAATTTACAAACACAATAGGTTAGGCAGTTGTATTTTCTACATATAAAAGTGAAATATTTAATAAAAAATTCTTACATTTCCTTGTTTTGTTTTGTAAATTTATATCAAATTTTTTACTGCCATTGATTTTATGGTAGCAGGCAACATGCACTTGTAGCATTTGAGCTATGACACAGCCAATAGTCTAACCCAATTTTGTATCTATTTGAGGTAATTAAGGTAATTGTATTATGTCATTATTATACAATTAAAACTTTGAGAAAAAAGTTTTATGACCATTTTACCCAATCCCATTATTAAAAGATTTACTAAACAAGATTAGAAAAGTGTGTAGAGCATCCACAGCAGCCTCATGCTTACAGTGAACTTGATGCCTGGCTGTGAGGGTCGTACTCTGGACTGCTTGATCTCCAGTTTGGCCATCATGCAGGCAACGCGGGTGGGAGCGAAGAGCAGGTGCACAGTCACGTCTTCTCTGGGGCGGATGGACAGCTCTCCATGTCGGGTCAGACGCTCCTCAGGACTGAACATGCTCTGGAGCTGAGGACAAATAAGTCACATTGTAGTATTCCAGTTAAAGTTCTTAAAATATGAGGCTGAATTTTCTTTTAAAAGACGTACACCATTAATTTAGGCCAATGATATAAATTACACAGTTTGTGTTTTATAGAGATGAGTCTAGCACAGGTCTAAGCATTAATTATACTTTTAGTCTAATGATAAACAGTAACATTTTTGTATTTGAGGCCTTTTTGAATTTCAAGTTATGTTAAGTCCAAAAGAAAGTTGAAGAAGGAGGACAGTTGTGTGTTAATCATCAGTCGATTGGCTGATGAGTAGAAATGGGAAACTTTACCTGAAAACAGTCTTGGTCTTGACCCCGTATCAACAACCGTAGGTGTTGTGTCTCGGTTTTCGAATTGTTTCTTAAGACCAGCTTCTGTTGTCTGCATCAGAACAAAGGTAATAGGTATAGGACGTCCTGTGCATGTCATAGCTGCAGAGCCTTACACTTAAAGGTCTGGGTCAGAGTTATGTGCTGTAGCTAAGAACAGTATGTACCTCACTTCTCAAAGTATAAATAAATTGTACATTATGTTGAAATAGCTTGTGAGGGAAAGCACTCCCTGTAGACATTGTTGTCCCTTCTCATGAATAACATTAGAAAGCCCTTAATCGAGTAAGATGGGCCAGTGGGCCTTGAGATTTTTCATTGATTACTTTTCCATGAATAATTGATACATGTACAGTTTTTTTTATAAACATAAATTACAGGAAAGTTGCTTACATGGCACGGCCTAAGGTGACCCCACCCCAGGCAACAAACTGTTTATTGGATAGGATTGGTGGGACGTCATTGACCAAACCGGGAGCTAGGACAGAAGAGGAAGAGATGGCTTGTTTCCCAGAGATGTCTGAGGCGAATTCTCCTTTAAGGGTCACCTCATACTGGGGGCCAGACGGCAGCACCAGAATGGTAAGGAGGCTGCAACACAGGACACAAAGAAAACCAATTTACACTGAAAATGTGGGCTTTGAGCAAATCTAATCATGAGATGGGACTTCCCATTTTCAGCGGGAAAACTACATCTGCACAGACATAATATAATATAGAGCACCTTTCTTTGGCGTTCCTGTTTTCTTGGGCTTTGAAGGAGATGACAATACTCCGCTCTTCTCCCACTTTTAGGGACAGCTCATTTGGTGTGACAGAAAAGCAACCATCAGATTCACTGCACTGCAAACAAGATAATGCTGGAAAATAAGCACCTGAAATACTTAGAAAGTGCAAATTGTATAAAATGAGGAAACTCTGTTCAAGAAACTAAAGTTGTTCAAGTTGTTTTTTTTTCTTTATGTAAATAAAATATAAGTTATACCATAATTTGCACATTCTACAAAGCAAATACAACCAGTATCATTTAATATAGTACATCATTTTATTTTATATATAGCAAGTAATAAAGGATGGGTTAAATTCCCTTAATAACCTTGCAAACTAAATAGAAATCAAGGCCACTTCTGAGCAGCAAAGATACCTATAGCTGTGGTTTTCTGTGGTCAATTAATGAGAACCCATTTGGATATATTATAGGATATTATTGGACATATTAGAGAGATTTTTGAAAACGGTAAAACTAACACCATTAAGAGTCAACCAATACCCATATAATTACATAATTACATACATAATACAGATTCGTTGCATCTATTTTTTTTTTTTTTTACGTTAAGTTTCTATTTTTTGGAAACTGCCACACAAACCACCATGCTAAAGGGTTGACATAGTCAACCCTTTTACCCAGTTATGCATTTTAGTATAACCTCATTTTCTTGTGTATGTATGTCATGATAAAAACTGAATTTCTACCACAGACACTAAATGAAGACGTGTATCCAACAGAGCTTCAATATTGAACTATCCCTTTAAGAATTCATTGTAGAGGTGGAGTTGGAATGGGATCGTGCGAAAAGAGGCCAGACGGGATGAAGGTGAACACAAGAAAACAGGGGCAAAATATCAATGAGTCCCCACACACAGACTGAGTCCAAAATGTCACAAAGGCTTACCCAAATCCCAAATCTAATAAGAAAAGTAAAGGTCAGAATTACCTTGAGTTTCAGCTGCACGTCAATGTTTCCTGCATTCTTTAATGGCAGCATTTGTTGGCTGGATTTACCCACCGGAGCAGTGAGGCTGACAGTCTAGACACAAGCAGCACAGGCAGTTCAGCATTCGAATTAGGACAGGGAAGAAAGTTTAGAAGACTAATGTGCAGGGAGAATTCAGTTGGGCACCTGGCTGAAAGTGATATTTGCTACATAAACTCCCATGTATATTTTGATGATAAAATAACCTTAGCCTGCCTAATAAGTAGAAATGAATGAAGGTGCACTATGTAACTTTTCTGGTGGGAATATCACTAACGGCCCATCCCTATGGAGATGTTATTGCTAGTTATTTCCACAGTATGGCATTGGCAATGCAATGGCACTGTGATTGCTCAAAAATATCCTGAAAACATGCATTCAATCAGAGACAAGCAGGAGGTTGGCGCTCCCCAATAGAAAAAGTTACGCAGTGTTCAGCCGTTACACACATAAAAGACGGAGTATGGAAGTATGGAGTCGTGGACCATGGTACCTGTAGGTCTTTCGGTGCATGGACTCGTGCTGTTCCAGATCTGGCCCTTAAAGGGATACTTTGGATCACATATGTGGTGCCTGGCGAATCCACTTCAATGTCAACGCGAGCCACAAACTCATCAGGGGCTCCAAGTTCCTCTAAAATAAGAAGGTATAACTATTAAGTTTTAAACATCTTTAAAACATTTTTATGTACATAACTGGTGTAAAATGTGAATAATTTATGTGATTACAGAAGACTAGACTATAACTAAACACTTTCACACAATACACAGTTCTTATAGTAGCCAAACATAGTAGATAATATTTTTTTTCCTACCAGTTGAGGATGTGTACTTTGAAGGAGCCTTGAAATGAACCCAAACCACAAAGCTCTCTGGATTCTAGTAATAAAAAGTTTGAAGTGTCAAATCATATTACATCAGAAAATCCCACAATAAGGGTTAGGCAATATCTTGTTTTTGATACGATTTTGAACAGTGGGTTTTGTGATCTCACCTCGCCATAGCTGGCGTGCATCACATGATTCATCACAGCAGGAGGAGACATTGGGGTGATGTGCCCGGCCTGCTGCGTCGCCTCACATGTCATGGTCACAGGGTTTTTGGATAA